CATGTTGCAACAATGTTTGCTCGCAGTTTCATTATATTGGTAAGTTATTGTTGTACAATTAATATTTGTATTGATGTAATGTTGTTGCATTTATTTCAATCGGAGTTGTATTCTGTTGTAGAAATTTACAAATAAGAAATCAGTATCGCATATTTGAAAGTACCCTTTTTTATAATATAAGGTGGCAAACGAGCAAGCGGCAATCTGAATCCACCGAAATGGAAAGCGACCTCTGCCCATAAACATCCGTAATTGCAGATGCGTTGCCTACCCTTAATTGGCGGAGAAGGAGTCGCACACATCTTTGTGTGCGACTCCTTCTCCTCTCCTGCGTCCAGGAGGACATTTCCCCTTCCTACACGTCTCCTGCACCGTCAAATCCACTTTTCCTTCCCATCCACTCCTCTTAAGAAAAGGGTGGAAAGGGAAAGGGACTAAAATTAGGCCTCCGGCACCACACTCATCAGACGAAACGCGGAATTGCTTCCACTTCACGCCTGTTTACTGTGTGGTCATGGTATTACTGGGGGCGAGCGGACCCATTAGTGCTGAGATGTTAAAGCGGGCTCTACCACGTGGCTCCATAACGTGGCCACTACGTTATGATGTTCGTAAAAGAAAAATGATAGTGATAATGTGCAAGGAGACCTCGAGTTTAATTACCTAAGGTCCTAAGTTATGCTATGCTACCCCTGTACTCTCACTGTTAGGTATCTCAGCGTTTAAAAGATTGATATAAAAGAGTTTATTATGGAGCATGATCAATAAATTTTTCATTTACTATGACATTATGTTTTATCAGTACGTTGTTCTATTGAATTAACGTATACGATGAGAGTAATTGGCAAAAATGTGGTAATAGCGTTTGGAATGTCGACGATAGGTGAGTTTCCTACGGAACAGGCGGTGGCGAGCGGCGGCGGTGAAGCAACCTGCTGGTCAAGGCGACCCGCGTTGCCGACACACCGCCATGCCGGCAAGCCGAAACACCGCCACGCCGCAATGCCGGCACACCGTCATACCGACAATATGCCACAAAAGCTCAGAGATCGAAGTTCGGGGGTGTTATGCCCCCTTGTTTGTATTTATTCAGCACAGTTTGACAGTAGCGTTGGCTTGACTAGTACTGTATGGACTCACTAATGCCACTTGTTCACATTATGCGTTTTTTTGCTGATTTTGAGCGCTACTGTCCTACATTATGGAAATAATGTAAACTGGGCTTTACATTACTTTACCTTGAATTCGTGACTAACCCCCGAGTTCATCTAATTTATCCCTGTTTTCTTGAAAAGTAATAATTTCTGAAAATGCAGTTATATTCTGTATAAAATCGTATGTTGTTACAACTTGCTATTAATAAAAATGTTACATAAATTGAATATTATTTTAAATAGTACGAGGACCTCATTAATCTTTTTTAAGAATAAAAATCAAACATCCAATAAAATGTAGATTATATTTTGGTTCTAAATAAATTAGATAATTTTGCCGATTATTCAATTTGTTTTACTTCTATAACATTTAACAGAAAAAAACTATTGTTAGTTTTTAATTCCAAGCTTAGTATTTGCGAAAACATTTTACGTAAAGGCCAGCTGTTAATACCAGGTCAGGGATGTTTAGACCGAGAAAGTGCTTTTTTATCACGATGAGGAAACAAGAGAGATAGCTTGTTAATTTTTACGTGACAGAAGTTTTATATGAAATATATCAAAGAAAAAAAATGTTAACGAGAATGAATATACAATCTTCAAAACTATTAAGGTGTTGTTTTGACGTATTATAAAATTTTTTGAAGCATTACTTCAGCATTTTATTAAACTAAGAGTTCGAAAACTTTGTAAAAAGAAAACCGAGAAATTGAATATAACATGCAAAAGTCATGTTTTTAATTGACTTAATTCATTGTGACATGTTCCGACCTTCATTTAAATTGCACTAGTCAGTAATTGCGATTTCATCTACAAACGCTAAAATTAGTATTTAACATATAAAACACATAATTAAGAGTTTGCAATTTACGTTCAAGTTTCATTAAGCGAAGGAGGTTGGCACAGAGCGGAAGCGCAGCACGTGAGCGACGCCGGGGTTGCACCGCTTGCTGCGGGCACGTTTCCAGGACATTTAGTTTCCTTCCAGTGAATGCAATGTGCGGATCTAGGTAATCACAATACCCGATTTATTATTGATAACTTAGTACTAAATAAACAAAAGTAATAGAATTTAAAATAACATAGAAAATATCGTACATAATTTTAGTCTAAAATATTTACAATACACAATGACAGGATAATTCGCAGTGGCAATTATTAATTTTAGATATTAAAATAATTGAGTAATCATATTACTTACTACTTTTTTTTCATATATCCCACACTTTATAAAAACTAACTATAGATATAAACACGACGGAATAAAATAAATAATCCTTACTTCTATGCATCACAGTATCGTACCATACGTATAAAAGAAATTGCAATCACCGCCCTACATCTTAAGCTATTGAAGTGCCAATGAACCGAATCGCAAATATCGATATCGCAATCGATTCAAGGAGCGATCCAGAATAGAAGGGCTGACGACCACTCACGCGCGTCCTTAGCGCAGCCGCGGAGAGCGTGGTAGAGCCCGCGGCTCGTAGCTGGCGCTTGTATCAGTGGCAGCCGACATCGCGCCCCGGCTGGCCGGTCCCTCGGAACATCGTAATACGTGTTTGTGCAACATTAAACATGTTATCGACAGTGCTTCTCATCGCTTTACCATTAGTTACTGCTGATATACGTAAGTTTTATTATGTATGTTCAATCAAAATGTTAAAGTATTTATTTAAAATTATGTGTAACAAAAACAACCAATTGTTCAATTTCAATTATCATAGTGATTTAAAATTGATATAAAAATTTGTAACATTTCGGATACGACTTCGATAGAGTATAAGATTTCAACGCGTCACGAAATATTTTTCAGCTGAGCTGTGAGGAAAGCATATTTTTCAGATGTGTTTAAAATTTTAAATATGGATTGTAGATATATGGACAACTTATAACAATCAGTATAATTTGTATTTGTATGTTTTCATTTTTACATGCATGTAGGGTACTGCCCAAAATTGATATAGAGGTCAGTAATTTTCTACCACAATATGATTTTGATATGCAAAAAACTAACAATTGAGAATAATTTTAATTTAATTTTGAATGCGTGCTTTGAAAAGAATAAAAAATGGGACAACTTTAATAAATTAGTTGATAAGTACTTAAAGTTATTGTCTTTAATTAGTGTAATTAAAACGAATTATAAGGAAAACATTTAAGTAACACCATGAAAGCTTAGTTATAGGCTCTTAACTATGATCAACTATAGGGTCGGCTTTAGCACTATCAGCCCGTGGTCTACGTCCCTACATGCTTTGCGCCCTGGAACTACTCTTGCACCAGTACTGCTTAACTATGGAATACCCAACGAGACAGAAGAAAATAATCACAAAGTTCCTTTATATGAGTACGAACTGAGTGTTTTTCAGTTCAAAATTCTGCAAAGAATTTTTTTTTGTGCTTGAGAAAATAATAGAAAACTTACAAATTTACTCGCTACAACAACAGTTTATGTATTCACTAGATGTTCCCGTGCGGCTTCATCTGCATTCAATTATAAAAACATACTTTATTGTTTACACTTGTCAAATTTTCAATTGCAAATGTCAAAATAACATGTCATGATGACAAACCGTGGCAACCTTGCTGACTTGATGTTGGCAGCTTGTAGTTTACGGGCCCTTTCCCACATTATGTTTTTTTTTTTTAATTTACTTACCCCCTTAGTTTAATCGCGTGAAAATATATAGCCTAAAGCATGTTGTACGTGTAGGGATTTTTATTAAAGAAAGAATTATATAAAAATATGCTATGATTGTTGTTATCCTACGCTACAAAATAGTGTGTGTTTACGCTTTATTATATTAGTAAAGAAGTATAGATATACTTAACTGTTTTCAACCGTACAATGATTTAAAAAAAACTGCCTTTTAGAATTCATCGACTTAATTAGTCAACTTCTATGGTCATAATTGTACATAGCTGAAACTTAACTCTGTATAAGATACGAATTCTTTCGAAATTCCTATCTTCTGACGACACTTATAGAAATCTTGTTAATAGGATCCAATTACGTGAGACTAACTGCGGCAGCCAATGATATGAATCCCGATATGTGCTGTAGAAAGGTTGCATACAAGATCTCTTCCACGTGCAACGATCGATCTATCCGGAAGTTTTAATAGTTTATTTACAGCTATATTCAGTTATTAATAGATCACTAAGGGTGATTTATCCTGAGTGTGGTATTTACAAAATGAATTGATCTTAGATAATGAAATAAACTCTATGTTTACTGTCCAAAACACATAGTAAATTCTAAATTTCTTTTTTCTATGTTATTTGAAAGATTATTTATCTTCTTTGCATTATTAGTATATGAAAATCGTAATTAGAGATGTAGAGTCTTAACTAAAAAATAAATAAAAACTGCAAGTTAAAGCATGTAAGTTTATGTTAGTTGTGTACAATCTTTGACCTTGGTCTAAATTTCCTAGATGTTTGTCTTTATTTTTCAATGTAATCCTAACCGCTGAGGTCAATTGTGTTTATCTTTTTTATGTTTACATGTAACGCAATTGTAAACGGACAATTCGGCAATTATATGTTAAAACTTCATGACATTACCGTTATTTGTTAGGCGGCTAGGTACTTTTTTTGAACATGTTTGGATGTCTTGGATTGGAGAATTTCAAACACATAACATAATTATTGAATATTTATCACCACATTTTTATTACAACAATATTATAGTAAATTTCTTTAAATAGTTGAAAACAACGATTTAGTTGCCATCCAGCCGTTGTTTCTATTTACAACGTGAATCGTGATTACGTTAATTTAAATCTATGATATAATCAACACCCGGCTGGTCTTGTTCTCATTCAGCGAAAGTGGCAACCCTACGACTGGTTTACTTGTATACTACTCGTATTATGTAAACAAAATTGATCAAATTTGATATATTTGTTGTTGAGTAAGGCTTGCTTTGAAGGTTACTACAGTTGTGATGAATTAAAATTAATAAAAAGAATTAATAAATTAACTGATGACAAATCGACTTAAAGCGCATATTCAGTTTTAAGTTTAAACTACTTTTTTCTATTAATTAATTAATTAATACTATTAATTATTAGTAATTATACCTTCATTTATTAATTGTTTTACTAATGACACAATTTTGTTCTTTTTTCAGCGTCCTACATAAAAGTATGCCAGCGAAATGATCCTAATGTGGACAAATGCATCATGAATTCCGTAGAAGAGCTGCGCCCAAAAATGATTAAGGTAAAAAAACATTCCAATAGATTGCGATAATAATATAATTTTTATTTCAGTTTGTTCGTTAACTTACAAGGCTAGTAAATACAAAATATATGGTTTTGTTGGTTATCTTCTTATTTACAATAATTTGCATGGAAAGTTTAAGAGACTCATGTGCCAAGGCATTACGTGGATGTATTATCGGGTTTCTTATCAACGGTAGAAGCATCGCTTCCAGGAATAGAGCTTGCATCAGGTTTCGGTGCTGCACTATCATTGCCAGAGATTGCTGGTTGACTAGAATCGTTTGTCGTCACACTACTCGCAGGATCTGCTGGAACTACTACCGTACTGCTCGAATCCTTTTCGACTATCGTTGTAGATGATTGACTTCCATCTGTTTGTTTACCTGTGTCTGATGAAGTATCATTTTTGACTTCACCGTCACTCGCAGATGTACTATTCGCATTAGCTGTAGAAATGTCTTCACTTAACACGTATACATCTTCCACGTGAGATTTACTACCATCGATTTTATTGACCTCTTCCTCGTCAATTGCAGCTAGAATATCGCTTTGAGATAGTGCAGTACCAGAAGCAACTACAGCTGATGAATTACCATTGTCACCGGATCTGGCTGTCGCACCACTCTCGCTGGCTGCTGATGTTCTGTCATATATCCCGACAATTGTTCCATCTACTTTCGCAGAGCTATCATTATACGAACTATCAGCTTCTACAACACTTTCGTTGAATCGTTTTGTTCCTTTAATATCTATAATGATGTTTGTTTTTCTTGCGTGAACATTTGTAGATGGTTGTGATTTTTTGGTGTAAACACATGTCGTGCACATCGTTCCCTGACATTTCATACATCCAGATCCCGAGGGATTGTAAGGGAATGGTACGAATTGTACAGGATCTATTTCTTTTGGATACTTGACGGCTACATTTGTCTTCTGTGGTATTCTTATTTGTATAAAAGTTGTCCTTTTATTACATTCGCTGGCCTGAATCTCTAATATCTAAAAAAATAACAATAACTGATTTCTTTATTTCAACTTTTAATTACACTTTTTAACTACATTTTTAATTTAATTTTTGTTCGAATTATTCTCTATTTGAGCAGTCTATTATAAAAGTTTATATTTACAAACATTTATGGAATAATTTTTCTTCGTTACATGAACATATATTTATGTTTAAAAAATCAAAGCAACAATTTATTTGAATAAAGAATTTATATAAAATTCAATCTTACCTGCAAGAAAAGCGCCAAGGTAACACACAGTGCCACTTGATGCCGGTCCATATTTAGAGCAAACAATCCCATACAAAATGCACTCCATTCCTTTTATACGATGCAGTTGAATCGTTCAGGTCCTCGTCATTGCTCTTTAATTCATTGTTAATTTTCTTATCGACACCCGTGAAGGCACGTATTGCTTTATTTTAAAGCTTGCAGATAAAAATTATTCAAACTGCTTAACGTAATGTAAGCGTTAAAAACTAATAAATAACGGTGCAAATCCTTTGAATATGTTTATGCTAAAAGATAGAAATTTAGTTTTAATAAGTCGTCATATATGACACGGTGGCAAATGACGCACATGTATTATCTGTTTGTTTCTGCGCCTGTGTTTTGTTTTATTTAGAAAAAGTAATTTAAAAAGATTAATACACGATTTTTTTTTGTATTGCTTATAAACAATGTAAATAACAGCTTCTAATAATTAGCGAGGTTATTATTGCAAAATGTAGTTCATGTAACATGCGTTTAGTTTCCATAAATTGCCATAATAGGATATCCTCGTACTTTTAGCTTGTAATTACAATTGGCGTTGTTACAAAAAATTGTAATTACTGCGTATTATTGGATATTACATAATATCCAATATTTCCAAAGCTTGTAATGAAGGTTTGTTTGAATTATGTTTACTGATTTATTGATATCATTATTGCCAACATGTTGTTTGAAATATCGTAAAATCATACTATCTTTCTCACTAAAGTGTGGATAGATGGATGTTAAATAGAAGATATCCAAAACGGCTGCGTGGATCTGGATGAAAGGCATACATGAACTGTCAGGGGAACCCACAGTGATCTGTCGAACGCCACATTAGTTAGGACACTAGTCCCCTGCACATAGAAGAATAATAATAATCAATAAAAGTTTTAATAATTCGTCAAGTTTTGTACGATTTGTTTGTAAAAAATCTATGTCAATGTCAAGTAAGTTTCGTAATAATCAGACAGATTGTATGTCAAGATGCTGGAAGGCGGGAAATTAAACAAAAAGCGATGACATTTCAAAAATAATCTATATCTCAAATATCCTTCACTCATTTGTCTCGTATTTACGATCTGCATATTGTAAACGCAGCGTAAAGCATCAACATTTCATCAGCGACCTACTGACCGTTTTGTTACCAAAGAGCTTACGTTCTCGATAGCTTTTGAAATAATGCTTTCAGAGAAAGATTTTGCGACGACTCTCGACTAGGTTGTGAGAATAATTGTCACAGATTTTCTGTTTGTTGTTTGTAGAAGCCTTTCTTAGTCTCAGTAAGTACATTTTTCACAAAGTTTGGCAACAGATCTGCAGTTCCTCTGGTGTTAGTAATGTCCCTCTTACAAAAAAAATTGAAAATGTACTAATCAAAGGAGAATAACCATCGATTTCACCTGGTTGTCATATATTTCAGGGTATTCCCGAACTGGACGTGCCCGGCATAGAGCCGCTCAGCCTAGGCCAGATTGCGCTCGCCCGGGGGCCGCAGGGCGCCAAGCTTACTGCAGTCGTTAATGACGTCAAAGTCAGAGGTCCCAGTAACTTCATCATTGAGGAGCTAAAGTAAGATTCATGTTAATTTTATGAAACTTGATAATTATTTATATTTTTGTGAAAAAATTATATTAGATTTTTTCAATCGGAAGAATTATGTAAGAAATGAAAATACAAAACATTAAGTTCCTTTTTACTCCAAGCACATTTTTAATTTCATGAATATCGTAATTCAAAGGGTTTTTAGTAGTTTTTACAATGAAAAACATATAAAATTAATTGTTTAGTCCAGTGTGCGCGAAGTATTATTTGTGTTACAATCAGACGTGTTATAAAATATGTGTGACAAATTCTGATAGCTAATTTGCGGGTACTACGTGAGAAGTGGTCGATTGTTACAATTACACAACAACACATAACGTAAAACAATAACAATTATCTGCAAACAGCATTCGGGAAACTAACAAAATACAGTCCCCAGTTAAAAAAAAAACATTTTTGATAACAATATTGCTTTTAATATTCTGTAAGTATAACTTTTCAAATCCAACTCTACATAATCTTACATAATCTGACGATTGAATTAATAATTCTAAAGTTTCGATCTCGTCTTAGACTTATTCTAACCTTCTTGCCTTATGTTAGGTTGTATTTTTTACATTTATGGCCGGTTTCCCAGCTACTTTTAACCATTTTTTAGTGTACTTAGTTTGATAACTTCATAAAATGAGTTTCCAAACTACGTAACTTGAGTTTAACTCGGTTGAAAATTAGTTCGACCTAATGAATGAATCACTAGGTAATAAAAACTTCGGAAACCTAGTATTAGTTCGTGAGCATAATACTACGAACACTATATTTTAACAACGTTATTCTTTTAAAATTAATAAAATTACATTATATGCTGTTTATTCAGATAGAGTATACATCATTAGATTCCTTGCACGTAGTCGTGTAGTCGGCGTATAATCCGCGATTTGTAAATCATTTACATGGCATGTAAGTCGATAGATTACCATCATTTAAGTTCAACTTATGTGTTACCTTGAAAATGTATAGAATACTGATTGAGACAATATTATTATCGGTTTATTTTGAAGTTTTTATCGACTGGTACTAATTATGTAGGGTTCGTGCTTCGTATAGTTCCTTGAACGACAAACAGATAAGACGTTTATAAATTATTGCACGCTAAATGTTATTTGTATAGATTTGAGTTCGCAGAACAGTCTTGTTTCCAAATGCCAAAGAGCAAAAATAAATGCCCCATAGTTTAGTAGTAACTAGATTTAATAACATTAAACTGTAATTAATAGCTTGCAGTAGACAAAACATTTATTTTTAGATATAAAACACAAAGATTATAGACAGCTTAAATTACTTACTACTTAACAACATAACTTAGTACTTTATACGAATTTAATCTAAATTTACCATCGTAAATCAATCAATTCCTGTTAGTCTAGACTTTAATGACCAATCTAGCACCTACTTAAGTGTTTTATTGAGTAATTCCAGGTCAGATTTGGACAACAATCGGTTCGACTTCAAGCTACTGCTGCCGCGGCTGGACTTCAACGGCAAATACAAGATGGACATCCAGGTACTGCTGCTCCGCCTGCAGGGCCGCGGGAACATCACCGGCTCCTTCAGTAAGTATATGTAGTAAATCTATACTATTATAATAAAGCGTAAACACACACTTCTTTGTTGCCTAAGATGTCAGCGATCACAGCATATTTCTAAATAATTCTTTTTTTAATAAAAAGCCCTACACTTACGTCACGCTTTAGGCTATATATTTTCACGCCATTAAACTTAGGGGGTAAATATTTTGGATAAAAACCCTAATGTGGGAAAGAGGCCATAAGTTGAAAAAAATTCATAATTTCATGCGGATGAAGCCGCACGGGAACAGCTAGTAATGTATATATGAGAAATGACTCATTTTCTCTTTCGTAAAAATTAAGTGATATACTCTAGCTTTTTTTTGAATATAAAGGCGTCTTTAGTTATAACTGACCACCTAGAATATACTTTAAGTTAAGGGAAAGTTATTGGAAATTGTAAATCTCATTCTAGCTCCTCCTTTTTCTAATCTAGTGAATCAGGGAATAGATAAGATAGTGATTTATGAATTACTTCATTTTAAATCAAATCCTTTGATGAAGTTACAGTTCATCTTAAACATACATTGCCCTTAAGTTTTTATTTTTCAATCCAATGGTAGTTAAATTATTTTATTATTGAACAATTTCCATTGAAATGTTGCAACAATTGTTAGTTAAACTATGTAATGAACAGCTGTGCGAGTTATTTCTTCATAGTTTCGTCACCGCCGCATGCATCTCCCAGGTAGCAGGCTAGTGTACACTCTGTTGCATTCGACTTAATAGTACTACAAATCAATAGATTTGATTGATTTTAATAATACTTAGCTGTACTGTCTTATTAACATATGTACTTTAGAATATCTTTTGGCCGTGACAGAATGTTTCCAACTACTAATACATCTTATAAAACTTTTGTATGTATTAATAAAAAAATAGATAAAAGAAATGATGAAATAAAAATACAGATTTATTGGTCAATTTCATAATTACTAGCTTAATTGCTGAAAGTAGTCGTCCTCCATCGATTGTCGGTCCTGTGGCGACCGCTTTTAGTGCACTTGACTATTGACCATTGGTAAAATAAGTCACAAATAATTTTATTTTATAACTGGCTTTATGAATAGGAATACATCAGACTGTATAATGTTAATTTATTAAATTAAATAGATATTGTCCTTGTAAGTAGTATTCGAACAATCGAGATATGGATGTCGGGTCGAAGCAGCCCGCGCTCAGTAGGTGAAGGAATGTGTGTTAATCGGCCTGCTGTTACGTAGCACTGAATAACCGACTCTAGTATTTTACAACGTAAGCGTTCTGTTTTTGTTTACTGTGTGTATTATAAAACAATTATCGACCACGTGTAAATTTTGTATCGTTTTAATCATGATTTACAAAGGCAATAAATGGCGGTTACATTTGTAAACGTAATTAGAATTTAGGCATTGTGAATAATGAGACAGTCAAAGATGTTTAAAAATTAATAGACATAGTGAACAAAATGTTTTCACCGGTACTTTCTCGGAAAGGTACTAAGTCCTCGTGTGACATGTTTACAAAATTATAATAAGCTCCATCTTTCGTTATAAAAGAAACTTAACAGTGCCTCAACAATATTATATGTACTTTTGGGGATTTCTTTTAATAAATAATGTTAGTGCCGCTTATGTGAAAAATGTCTTAATTGAACTGTCAATTTTGCCTACTCTTTGTATTTTTGAATCTCTTTAAGGACAGCCAGTTTTCTAAATAGTGTTCTTTTTTAATTACAGAGGATTACGCTTGCAACGTGACTATGAGAGGACATAAGGAGAAGCGTGGAGATGACGAATATTTGACATTCGATCCTTTCAAAGTGAAGCTTCGCGTCGGAGAATCTTCAATATACCTGACGAACCTCTTCGACGGTGATCCGATCCTGGGACCAGCTACAAACAGGGTCATCAATGAAAACTCTCAAGTATTCCTACAAGAAATAAGTCCGGTCCTAGAACGTAGCCTTGCGGATCTCTTCACGGAAATGGCGAATAAAATAACATCAAAATTCACGTACAAAGAACTGTTTCCTTGATTTGAGTTTAACTTCATAGTTTAGATAATGTGTGATTATATATTTTTTGTGTGTGTTTATTTAAAAAACAATTGTCACAATTATTTGTTTGATCTTTAATTCTTGGAGCTTACGTTATTTTTGAACCGACTTCCAAAAAGGATAAGGTTCTCAATTCTGTGTGGATTGTATGTTTTATTAAAAAAAATGTATACAGCGTAACCAGGCATAAGAACGGAGACCAAATGACAATTTATTCGACATTTCATGAATAACTTAAAGCTTAATGTATCCAAGTGAGAAGTAAATTATTAATTATTTTGTAATGGCGTTATTGTGTAAACCATAGAGACATAGTATGTTTTTTTTTTAAATTTCTCTTTGTCAGTTCTGTCATTCCAGAATTTAAATGAAACAATAGTTTCATTTTGTATTTATTTTTTTATTGGTTTTGTGAATAAAAACATAAGTTTTTTTTTTATTTCTAAATGTGATAATAATTACGAATATAGTAACCATCAAAAATGTTGTGGAAAATTATGTTTAAAAATTGTCCTCTAATGATGATAAGTCTAAAATTTTATTTTAATATTAAATTAGTTTGATTTATTTGTAGTTTATAGCTGAGTCTAGACTAATATATCTAAATGTGTATTACAGCCGTAATTGTTTTGAATGTACCTTCATTTTAAAATTAAAAATTGCCACGATTGGTTCTGTAAATTTATGTTTTTCTGTCAATTGCATTATTTTAGTATGTTAAATTTTTCAAACGAAATATTTATGATTTTTAGCAAAAGATTACATTTGGATTAGTTTAACAATTCGTTTAACTTAATACTGTATTATATGATTAATTAAATATAGATGTTTTGAAAATTAAAAGAAAATTTATTTATTTCTATACATAGTAAGACAGCTTAATTTTTAGAAACAAAGGTAAAGGACCAAAGTAAATATCGATTGATTGTGTAAAAGATGATATGCTTCAGGGAGTGAATTAATATTTAATAGAGATGTATTGAAGAGCAGTATATTCTTTGTCAACCTTTTGTAAATATAAAGGGTAGTGATGACAACCTACTGTAGAGTTGTACACTGTAGGACGAGTTTAAGATTCAAGCTCAATTGACGAACTATTAATAATTATTTCATTACAATTCGTGTAAAATTTAATTGATAACAGATGCTTTAAAAATGCTTATTAAATAGATCATTCTATACATAAAGATATCAATAAATAAATTGGCATTCGAGTAGGCACAAAAGGAAAAACCCCGGACTGTAACATCATTTTTTATTTGTATTCATAGGGCATGTGAATACTTGTTTAATGATCGTGTTCAATTAAAAGTCCACTACAATGTTTAAGTAATTGTGCAATATTGGTAATACCAATATTATCCTTTTTTTCGTCTTAGTGCATCAAATGTCAAGTAAAAACTTGAGAGACCAAGACACAACTCGAAGCCTCTAGTAGCAAAATTTTTTATTTACCTTTTTCGTGACAAAAAGTTGATAATAATATGGAATGCAATAATTTTAAAATACAAATACAAGTACAATTACAAGTAAAGTAACACTTATCGACAAAAAAAACTGAATGAGATCGCTTATTTTGTTTATAATTGTTCGCTGGTTTTAGGCTATAGTTACCTCATAGAAAAGGTCAGAAAGAAGCCAGCGCGAGATCTACGAACGATTCTATGGAGAGGCATCATCTCACAAAATATGAGCGTGTAGAAAATATATTATTTTTTTTTGTTTTGTCTGACGAGCTTTAGGCGTCATTCATTATCATCATGATTCATCATTTAAAACTTAAGAAACCATTAAATAAGAAATAAAAAGATCCCCGTCTGTAAAAATCTTCCAAAGAACTACCATAGTTTTAGCGTTACATTTCAGCATATAGTTCAATACTAAAGATGACCTAGTTTACAATAAAAATTGAGATCTTTAACAGCCGATCGTAGTTTGGTCCACATGAATGCACGTAACGCTTCCGAATTCTGTTAGCCGTGAGATAATAGTGCGCCATTTTACGCAACCGTAGTGGACCGCAGCCGCTGCGGTTACCCTCCATTTTTATGTAATACGTCACGGAAATACACTTCGGTGCACTACTTGTTTTGTTTTTTAATTTTATTCGTTTACGGTCCGTTTTTATTTCTTTTCGATTTATAGGTTGCAATTTGTTTACTATTTTCGAATGCAAACAATGGAAAAATATTTAGTTCTTGACGTCAATTACGTTTTATTTTAATTTTAAAGGTTAAGGTTAAGTTAACTAGTTCGAAGATTTAATTAATTGGTATGATATAAGAAATCATAACTTTACTGGCTTAGCAAAACTATATTATTACTAGCTTTCGCCCGGGTGGTATTAAAAAAAACAAAAACAAAAGTGAGTAGCCTATGTGTTCTTCCATACTCTGCACTACATCTATGCCAAATTTCATCCAGATTCGTTCAGCCGTTAAGGCTACAAAGTCTAACAAACATCCATCCATCCATCCTACCATTTAAACTTTCGCATTTATAATATTAGTATGATTAGTATGATAAGTACAAATTTACTTAGAAAACTTATAATGTTTTTTCTTGAACTTGCTTTTCGAAATAATCCGAGTCACAAACTACCGCATAATTATTGGCTAAGCTTTGATTTGCTAAGGCTTTTCTCACGATATATTTATCATAGATTAGATTGCAAAGCGTGAGAAGTATTGTTTAAACAACCAATTTTAGATCGTATTTAGCAGTTGAATAAGTACCAATTCTCTCCTCTAATTTACATTATTTTCCCATATAAGTTAGAGGTTCTGAACAGTTTTCTTGTCTTTGTATTGTCAGTATAACTAAAGCTTAAATAATAATAAAACAATGCATTTGTCAAGTTTATTAGGCCATTTGATTTTTTTTATTAAGAATCGTTTCCTCGTTTTTATGTTTTGCCGTGAAGTATAATTATATATGGCCTTATAAGCTGAAAAATAATAATGTTCCCGTTTCGTTTCGATTTTGTTTATAATCAGATCCAATTGCTTGGTACAGAAAGTTAAAATTTTACAGACCAACCAGAACCAACTTTTAAAAAGTAATAATCTAATATATTTTTTAGAATTCAGGTAGTTATACTCTTGAAGTTATCTGTTCCAGAACTCTGATCTGAACCAGTTGTTGAACTTTGGCAGGAATAATGTTACTGGAAGCAATGTGAAATGAAAACAGGCGAATAGAACAGTTAAATAATAAAACTATTATAATATTTGGTTAGGTAGGTAAAATAAATTATATGTTTTATTTTGTGATACGTACGTTACAAAAATGTTGGATACATTAACGTTTGAATACAGAGCCTGTAAGCATGGTAAGTTGTTTTAGAATCTTGTTTATTCCTTGCCTATTCTTTAATACGGAAGTTGGTTTTCGTATAATCCCATATTTTTGAAGTCTTTTTTCCTGTAATTGCGTAATATTGGGCCCGGTGCGTACTGTCTCTTTTAGTACAAATATCGGTTATTTTGGCGGGAGCGCACATTCGCTTTCAGACAACCGGTACGAGAACGCGCTTGTTTCACTTTCGATTTTATTCGATAAATTGTTTTAAATTAAATTTGTTAACTAATTGTTTTAATAATGAAGGTGTTAATATTTGTTTTTATCGCAATCGCGTCCTGTGTTTACGGGGATGTCCGTAAGTTTTTATTTTGTTTCTAGGAGTGTAGTTTAAAGCATAAAATTGACCTTGCTATGCCTTATTACTAAAGGTTTTTTTCAGTATTTTAGTATGAAGTGATTGTTGTATTACAACTATTTACCTTTAAGCCAAACAAATGTTTAAAATTAAGCCGCACGATCTAGGCCAGTATCGTAATTGGAAGAGTTCGGCGTTGCGTTTAATTTTGTCTGAAAATTTCGCGATTTGAACTTGAAATATATTTTCACTATCATTGTTAAATTACTCGTAAACAATTTAGATAAATAATATAAATATTAAGAAACTTTTAGACCGGTTAAAACTTCCTATAGATTACGTGAATATGAATACCGAATAGTTCTCAGGACTTGAACATATCTATGTGCTTACGAGTACTGCGTCTATTACACGGTTTAAATGTACTTTCATAATGTCGTAATGTACAAGATACTCGTATAAAGCAACGTGAAAATTGATGCTTTTCGGATACTCGGAAAGTGTATAACTAAATCTATTCAGCCTTACAAATAAACGCGGTATAAAGTTAAACTTAGGAATAAACTGAGTATAAGCTAAATTTGTACAAATATTTGCTTATACTCAGTTTGTTCCTAAGTTTAACTTTTATCGCGTTTATTTTTAAGACTGATTATGTTAATCATACGAATCAATTACACATCTCGTCATTTACTTACTCTTAAAAACAGTATCTAAACAATAATGTTAAAACATTTCAGAACAGAACAGAACTTAGAACTCGAAATCAGTAAAGTAAATGATTTCGAGTTCTAAGTTCCCTCTTGTGGAAGGTGTGCGAAATATTTGCTACTTAGTTGTTTTTTTAATATATTCAAAGAGTTTATGGGCTTTTAATTTGTTTAATATTCAAGTGGCAGTAGAATATATTTAGAGTAGAGTGGAGTAACTTTTAACGTCATTATCTTTATTACTTTATTTCGCTTGCATGTACATTGAAAATAATAAACGTGACAAATTATTAAGTTCAAGGTCATATTCAAATAGCGAATAAAGTTGACATGAAATTTAAATTGGATTTGAATCTGATAAGAAATCTGTTAATCGTTTTTATTTAGTTTAATACAAAACTATAATGGGTTTTAGTAGTAACGAAAAATTATTTATCTAAACGTTTAATATTAAAAACAATAATTGAATTTATGCATACATCTGATCGATATTTTAGAAATGCTATAAATGACATACATGTCTATGCCAATTGACAGCTAAAGTATTTCCGCCTTTAGTAAAGTTGCCTTTTGTATTTTGAATACTTATAGAAGTTTTTAATTGAAACAAATTGTGTTAAAATAGTTTTGTAAAAAGATTTAAAAATAAACTTTTGTTTTTCACAGCTGATTATTTCCCGCATTGCAAGAAGAGTGACCCGCAAATAGAGAAATGCGTTTTAGACGCTGTGGAGGCTATGAGGCCGAGGTTAAAGGGAGGTATCCCAGAAGTGAATATACCCGCTCTAGACCCCTTCACAGTCCCCACGTTGAAATTAGACAGGACCGCATCGAACCTTCGACTGAAAGCTAATCTCAGAAACATGAAGGCTTTGGGTGGTTCTAATTTCAAGATTGAAAAATTCAAGTAAGTTGTCATATGTTTTTAAGTGTTTCTCAAATGCTATTAGCAAACTAGTCAACATGAACTGTCTATTTTTTTTATATTAGTAGGTTTTTGTTAATTGACTATAATATTTATTTTGCCATTCCAACTAAGCTCTAGGCTGATGCAAGGATATGGTTTATGACAATAGTCGAATGGCAGGATTCGAACCTTCGACCATTTAATCAGAAATCCGTACCCCTAACAATTAGGCTATTGGCGCTTAAGGATTACCACTTCCTTCAGACGCAAATGTTTTTTTAATTTGCAGCCTGTTTGTGCGAAAACATAACTAAGAGAGTTTTAATAAATACATATATTGGAACGTACATTTTTTTTAGTATTTCCAACTCAAATCTGACACACTATCTTCTATCAAATTGTATTTTGCTTCCATAATTTCCTAACACACATTTGGTTATGCGCCAATAACTCGTTGGTTACAGAGGTTTCACCAACATAATGTTTATTGGAATTTCATTCCGTTACATCACTCAGTGCCTTTTAAATAGTGGCCAGTGTTCTTTTTATGCTTACCCGGTAACCTAACTTGAACACTAACATGACGTTAAAAAACCATTACGATGTCAAACAAAGATATTTGGCCTAATAATGTTTAATATTGGACTATATGTGTATAAAAAATGATAACTTAAAAAAGTTTAAAACTGAAAAAGCTCTAAGTTCAATATTTCAGTGATTAACAAATAGAGTCTAGTATTCGCATCAATAACATTGGTCGTTAATTTTTTTTAAATAATGCAGCAACTTCCTTGTTGTTGTATGAATGTTATAAAAAAAAAATAACGTCATTTGTATGAGTGTCGTGTTTCATTTGGACCACCATGACTGTGTATTCTGTATACAGAATATTAAATTACAGTACTTATTTACATTAAGTATGTTGTGACAATTTTTTTTTCGGTCCTTGCCTTTTGTAACAAAGCATAGATAACACTTTCAATTCATGCATCGACAGTTAACTTTTTTGTAATGCATTTAATATTAGGTATAGTTAGATATTTGATTTCGAGACAAAAATGCTTACCGTAAACTATTATTTTAGTCTGTAATACAATTTAAAATCTACCATAAACAAGATTTTACTTTAAAGTTATCTGTAGTGTAAATATCTGGAAATACACTTTAAATCAATATTAGTTTTAACGTTTGTTTGATGCACTAAATACACATCTACCAAAGTTTATTTTATAAACAGAGGTTAAGTGGAAAATCTGCGCCTTGACATCATTTTTAGTCATGAAATCTCGTACTGGGCACAAATTGCGTTACGTTAAGGGCATTCTTACATACTTAAGTATTCAATCCACGTTAACATAATAAGTGGCTTAGAAGTTAGAAGTAAACTAAGGTCTGAATTGATTTTTTAATTGTATTGTATTTCTAAAGTTGTACAAATTAACTTAGTCAATAAAGTATAGCGCCATCTTTCGCAAAACCAGAACACTATACTAATTGTTCTTTTTCTTTTAATTTCAGATTGAATTTGAACAACAAATACTTAGCGGAGGTGAGGCTGTCGATTCCTAAACTGATCGTGGCGGGTGAATACGATGTGCGCGGCTCGCGCATTCTGACTGTGGATATCAACGGCAAGGGCAAGCTTAGGGGCAACTTCAGTATGTATTATAATGACGTAGATATAATTTTTAATTTGGTTTTGTGCTTGTTAACTCTACTTTTAAGGTTCATAGTTTGATAAAACATTATCGCCTCTATTCGTTCCAATACATTGCAGTACACAACATGAACAAGGGTTCATAGCGCTGTGTTCTAACGAACAACCAAAAGTAGACATACAGTATGTCACAAACATTGATAGAATAGAGATGAATTATCATTAAATTCCTATATATACTCCATAAAATGCAGTTTATATCTGGTCTCACAATTGCTCATTTTTTCAGCTGGAATATACGTAGTAGCGAAGGGACTTGCGAAGCCAATCGTAAAAGACAACATCGAGTATCTCCAAGCGGATAAAATTATCACAAAAGTAAAGATCGGTCACGGTCACATAGCGCTGGTAGATTCTGATAGTCCCGCTGCGGGTGAGTGACCTACAATCATTACTGTTACATTAAACAAAATGCACATACGTTGATTATGATGTGTAATAGTTGAGATTCATAATAATTTTATAGACGTATATTAATTTAATAGGCATTGTAAAGTACTAGCTATTAAAAAAAAACGAAATAAGTAGCCTATTTGTTCTTCCAGACTATCCTCTACATCAAGGCCAAATGTGATCAAGATCCGTTAACCAGCTTAGGCTGTAAACCCTAACATCCATTCATCTTAACGTTCGCATTTATAATATCACTAAGAAGTAGGATTTAGTTAAATAAAAAAATTACAAATGAATTTATTAATGTTTTCAGCAACATCAGCAGCGACTTTCTTCAACGCCAGTCCGGGTATTGTGCTCGACATATTGAACCCGCTGATAGAGGAGACCTCGGCCGCTGTGCTGAAGGCATTCCTGAACAAAATACTTGGCGGTATACCATTGAAGGATATTTTACATGACGAAAACGCGTCGTAATTTGGCAAACTCAATAACTCTTAGATTTTCACGTACTGATGTAAGGAGTTGGTGGCTCTGAACGTGTTGGGTTTAAACTTAAGTGTAGATTTGTGTATCGCTCAAGTATCACTCGGATTAAGATATCATTGGTTAAAACCTTTTTATTTAAGACTATGATAGTTAAAATCTGTTGGAAAAGAGCCAAAAATATATGAAAATAATATAGGACAAAATGTATATTTTAAACACTTTTATTTTTGCTACACTAACAGCAAGTTGGCATTGAGTCCTCACGCCTGTGGACTTTTTTAGTATTTTGTTCCTTATTTTTATAGTTCAGGATTTCTACAATTTTACAGTACTTATAAGTTTTCAATATATTATATAAGGTTTAAGTTCAGTGATGTTTGTGAATAAGGTAATATAAATAGTACGTATTTTTTTACAATTATCCTAAATGCTGTATTAATTACAAATTGTTTTAAGTATAAAGTATTTCTTTTGTGATTTATTATTAAATTAAGTACATTAAATGTAAATGTAATAAAAATATTTATTGAATTTGTGGTTTCGTTTAAACGTTCCTACGAGTATTATCATTGTGTAACCTAAGTTTTTTTCGCTACGCTAGTTATAAAAAGTATTTATTTCTATTCTAGTTTAGTTATAACCTTATAGAGACTAAGAAAACAGCTTTAACGCTGTAATTTTTTTGAGTCTTCGCAGAAAAATCACAATTATGTATTATGTCCTGATTTTCAAGTAAATGTACAGATCTATCTCTCCTTTACATTATATGTGAACACTGTTGTCATATAAGGAGTATAAGATTTTCTTCGACAGACTCAAGGTCTAGTTCTACCTTCAGTATGAGTAGTAATATTTAGTCCTATACTAGCACAGATAATTAATGCAAACATGTGTTTGTTTCCGGAAAAAGAAATGACTTTGAAATAACACAAGTACGCAGATCGGTCTCATTAGTCACATATCCAGTCGTGTGTACCTGCCATGTCCTGCAGACCTTAGAGCCGAGGCCGCACACATATGGTATAAACCCGACCAGTTCTCATCTATTATAAAAGCGTTTAACATCATTGGAAGTATTCTTAGCGTTAATTCAATCGTATCGGACGCTTCGTTCCAATATGAAATACTTAGTAATTTGTGTTATTGTTATTTGTGCACAAAACGTTGCGGGAAGAAGCATAACTAACACAACGGATGTTCACAATGAAGAACATGAAAACAATAGTAAGTATATATTTTTTTTTGTATCGTAACAAACAAGCAAGCGGTTGAATTCGCGGAAATAGTGAAGCGACCTCTTCCCGTTGACAATAGCAAATGCAGATGATTCTGTTTTAATTATTAAATTCATTAGAATAGGCACCGTCTCATTAAAATCCATCAGAATATAAAAAATGTAATGGTACGATAAAGTAGTGCAAAATATTTTTAAGTAAAGAAAAGGTAAGGGAGATGATGATTTTATTGTTACAGATGAAACAAAAATGTGCCACTACAGTGACCCGGATATCGCAAACTGTATAAAGCGTATGGCGGAACAAGCACGGAAAGTGCTGGCCCACGGCATCCCCTCTCTTAACATACAGCCTCTCGAACCTCTGAAGATACCCAACATAAGACTAAGACAGCACAATGCTCCCAAATCTGGCTTCAAGTATGATGCGTGGTTCTCCGATGTCGAACTCAGGGGACTTACGAATTACACATTCAATAAATTGGAGTAAGTATTTGAAATTATTGGAATTCAGATTAAATAGATGCTTGAAACTAGTTTAGGCAAATTGCAATATTTATTTACACTAATGTTATAAAAAGGAAAGATGTGGATTTTTGTATGTATTTAAAAAACTCCGAAAATACTAGATCAATTTCAAAAAGTCTTTCACCATTAAAAAGTTACGTTATCGGTGAGTAACATAGGCTGTATTTTTTTTTTAATTTCACGCAGACGAAGTCGCGAGCAACAGCTAGAGTTAAATAACTTTATATTAAAATTCATATAGGTTTGGTGCGATGCCATTTGATAGTGATTTAGTTAACAGCTTCCTTTCTAACCATCTTTAGATGAAGGCATATTTTGTTTACATACCCAGTATTGGTAGAAGACATCTATAAGTACATTTAATCAGAATAATATGATTTCTTGGAAAAATCAGAAGTAAATGTACATTAAAATAAACAAAACAATTTCTATAATGGAGATAGATACGTTTCATGACGCTCGGAATTTTAGATAGTAGAAAAAAAAAACATAAATTTTACAAAAGCAATTTTCTTTCAGCGTTTACCCACAAGATTTGAAAGTTAATACGAACATAAGTCTGCCGCATCTCGCCATGACCGGGGAATACGTCGTCATCGGACAGTTCCAGATGCTGCCTGTGGAATCCACGGGAAAAATGGCCGCTAACTTTAGTAAGATATTGCATTAACAACTTAAAAGAAATAGTAAATATTGGTTGTACAGAGGTTAATTTTTCACAACTAGCTCGAATTTTAGCAGACCTAGCTATCTTTAGAACCATAGCAATGTAAAATCCTAGAAATAATGTAATTTTAGTTTTAGTTAAGATGTTCCGCATAATATTTCTACTTGCAATTTACAGCTCTGTGTACGGCGGCGTTAGAAGCGGTCGGTGCGAAGGTCCACAAAAGAATAGTAGTCCGCGACGCCAATGTCAAGCTGAAGTGTGCAGGACATCTGAGTGCTGACCTCATGGAGGCTCACTCGACCACACATGAAATGGGTAGGAATATACTATAGACCGTATACGATATTGGCCTAAAAAGATTAAAACCGAATCAAAGGTGAAAGCCAGATAGAAGCATATGGAATTAAAATAGCAATTTTTTTTTTTCAGAAATGATAACCAGTCATCTAATAGGAATGCATTCTTCAGAGATAGCAAAAGAAGTGCAGCCCGCTGTGGAAACAGCTCTCGCGATGGTCCTAGAAGACATCGCAAACAAATTCCTCAAACGAATCCCATCTAATATGGTTTTCCCAAATTAGATTATTATCTAACTCATGTATCTAATTTGACTATAATGTAATTTATTAGTTCATTTTGTTGTAAATGTTATATGATATATTTAAAATAAATTATTTATGTTTAATTTTTATTGCTTCTTAAACTTCCACAAAAAGCTCTCATACATTACTCCCAGTAATTACATAAGCTTCGTCATTTAGGGTCAAGGACGTTTCACCGAAAAGGTTGACATACATCAACACACACAACGTAATCCGTGCTATGTAAACACTGTCACAACATGACTATGTCAATGGAGTGTCATTTGAGGAAAGTGTGCCAGCGTGTCGCGGCGACTGCCCCGCACCGGCCTGCAGGCCTACCTCTTACGTCATCGACTTACAACATTGCAATAACGCATACAAACAATTCACAACTTTAACGCATTGGCAGAAAGTTTATTTTTCTATAATTAATTCATTTCTAGGTCGAAAATCTGACGACACTATAAAAGGTGCATATTGCACTGTCACAGTCATTTTTTATTAACAAAAGACAATCTTCTAATTATGCAAATGATTGTTTGACAATATTCTATTGATCAATAAGTTAGCATTCATTTGTTTCGTTATTGTATCGTTGGCTATAATCAGAATCTTTTTAAAAGTTCATTGACTCTTGAGTTTTGCAATGTAAGTAAATGGTAGGGGCCTTTCCTTTAGACCTTGTGAACGAACTCGGTGATGTAAGACTATATTAGGTACAATTAGATCTCTTGATACTAAGGTTTTTTATGTAATAATGTTTTCAGTTTGAAAGAAATTAAGTAATCATAAGGCAGTTTTCCTTATTTCAACTTGATAATCTTGTATTGCATAATAGTATATCATTTACTTTGATTGCGTGTAATGAACGTGAGATAAATAATGAAGATAGATATATCTTTACGAACATTAGCACGTTTTGAAGTAACTACTTAAATAGAAAAACATCATTTTAATTTTCATTTGATCTACATTAATGTAAGAATCAGTTGGGATTTAAAATGTGGAGGTTAATGTGGTTCTTTGCTGTTTTTAATAGATCATTTTGTAGCGATGAATCTTATATTAACTGTGAGTATTATTTCTAAATCTAATAAACCTTCTACTGAATAAAAGTGACTTGTATTCAGACTAACAATTCTTATGCCGATCTTTTCCATTTAGAGGATTCAGCCAACTCTTTATCAGGTTGCCTTAACCGCGCTAGCCCAATGCGGATGGCTCGATATGTATATTTCTTCATCTAATTGATATTTACAGTCGGCGGATTTATGTGTCCACGGGATGAAGAAGCATTATCAGAATGTCTGAAAGACGCACTTAACGTTTACATACCTGAACTGGCTACAGGTATGTTTGATTTTTCTAATATAAACAAAAGTCTAACTTATAATAAATGAAAAAAGATAACTCTGTAACAATTTCCAGGTATACCAAAATACGGGATTCCTCCTTGCGAGCCGCTGATGATACCAACATTAACGATTCAACAATCAGCAGGACCGATTTCTATTTCGTCTACTTACACTAATGTTTCCGTCAAAGGACCAGCCAGTATGCGGATCACTAATGTCGAGTAGGTTGCTCTTACAATTTTACGAATTATTGTCTTACTAGCTACCGTAGTTACTTGAACCTTTAAAGGTATAATAATTTTACTTTGTACAAATTACAGGGTTAATTCAGCAAAGCACGAAGTAATCGCCAAGTTGTTCATACCTGAATTAAAAATGAAAGGACATTACAATCTATCTGGGAAGCTTCTGTTGTTACCTGTAGAAGGAGATGGAAATTTTTCAGCTAAATATGGTAACACATCTTTCTTAATTCAAAATCGTTCACATTTAGGGTATTACAATGGTCATTAAGGATCCCTTCATGTAAATCTACATCAATCTGTAGAGGAATCTGGCAGTGGTGTTAATATAAGTATCTCTGTGTTTTCTGTCCATTCTAACCAGTCCTGCCAATTGTGTGTACCCTAAACATCAATTAATATTAAAACCAAACTAGTTTTGTTACAGAAAATATTTAATTGTAATCCACAGGTGACATCAACGCGGTCCTGACGATCGCCCTGGGCAGGTTACATCGTGAGAACGATGTCGACGCTCTCGCCTGTGAAAAACTCGATGTCAAATTTGATGTAGGATCCGCTTCTATGAACTTAGAGAATCTATTTGATGGAGACAGTGAATTGGGTAAGTAACATATTATAATAGATGAATTTCGGTAGTTAAATCAATAACTGCGAGAGTAAGCATTATTTTTGTAAATTGTGTGAGAACATTTTTGTATCTTCTGTCCTCTGATAAGTTGGTAACTAAATTTTGAAATTCTTATCATATTAATAGATATAATTGGTTCCAGGTACTACAATGAATGCGTTTCTTAATGAGAACTGGCAGAAATTAGCAAAGGAATTTCAAGAGCCGATGGAGGAAGCTCTTCGTGACTTCTTGAAGCCGTTAGCTGATCATGCTTTTGGTACGCTAAAAGCAGATGATATATTCTTAAGATAGCAGGAATGTGTATAAAGACAATGTTATTGCCTTTTTTTAAGAATAAAAGAGATGTAAATATATTTTTATGCGGGGATTGTTCGGCTGTGTTACGATTAATCTACAAATATCTGTTTGTTGTGTATATTGTCTCTAGTCTATTAATTAGTTAATAAAACATTTATTTATTTGCCTCGTCTTTTGCCCTACTTTTCTGTGTATCGGTCAAACGAGTTACACTAATTACAAGGTGAGTTTTTCCAATTTTATTAAGATAAATTTTACATCTACTTATAGTAATAAAACATGATTTTATCATTGGTATCTTAAATAGGTAAATTAAATCATGTACTTCTTGAGAAATTCACATTGAACTTAAATAAATAATTACAACTAACTTACATGTCACATTATCTGATGATAAAAGCTTTTAAATGTCTCTTAAATTGAGTAATATTAACACGGACGGTTTAATAAAAGCACACAAATGCATTAAAAATAAATAAAAAAACGGCACTCTGTAGTTAAAACACAACTTAGAAGACGAAATAAAGCAAATATAAGAAATAAGTAAAAGATCACAGCTTGAAAAGTGGTTAAACCACGATCTGTTAAGTTTCTTATTATTTGCACAGTGTTAGATCAACACCAAAATACTTATTCTAACAATATCACTGATTAAATGTAATTTTAATATACTGTTCAAGGTTTAAGCCAAAGATTTATCGGGATCTTGTTGAAAGCAGCATTGAGGAACGTCTGGAAATGTTTAGCGATTGCCAGCGAGGCGGCAGGTCTCATTTCTTCTATGATTTCCGGTGCGTTGTTGTTGAGAAATTGATTCATCGCCTCACCTGTAATTTTCAAATTGTACGATTAAAAACGTCTGTTTATAAATCAATTTAGCAAGCGGTAGAAGAATACGTATATTAGATAATGAGATTTAATTATGTCTCGGTCCAGTATAATTAAAAGAGGATTTTTTAAGCTGCAAACGTTTGTAAAACTATATATAGCAAGTGGGCGTACAGTGGGCTTTATATAGTATTTGTTTGGCGCTTTTGTTAAACACTGAAAGTGTTTGATAAACATTTTTACTTTAGTCGCTAGGCGCTTAACAAAACAAAGGCAATATATTTGTAATAAGATTGTTTACCAATACTTACCAATAACGCTCCCATGGTTGACAGTATCTCTTACTTTAAAACGAGAGTTTTTCAGTTTGAAATCTACTAATAATCTTTCGATAGACATGTACTTTTCGCTGTCGCGTTCAATCTCCTTTCCATAGATTTTAACTATCGCCGCAACATCAACTAAAAAAGAACGCATTGTTTTATATTGTATTTTGCTTGTTTTCTACATTGTATTGCTAAATTATACGGTTATGCATCTGACAAAATAACATATTTAAAAAGCAATGGCTATGCAATTTAAAAAAAATTGAAAAGGTAAAATTGACTCGTAATCTCTTATTTCTTTTCTATTAATATCGACTTTTAGATAATCCTTTCACAAATGTCAAAAGTTTTTCTACGTAATAACTGTTTATACACTTAATATGTTTACTGATTACTTAAAAATATATGACACTAACTGAATGCAGCCCAGAAGTTTCCTTGTGATCGTACTGGAAAGAGTAGAACTTGACCCGACACCTCGTAGTGGCCGGACACCTCGATACGCGGCAACGCCAAACCCATATCGATACGCATCTTCTTTAAATCAGACCTGAAACATGTGTAGAGTTGATTAAAGTAAAAATAATTAAAATACATCGTTTAGTCATAACAAATGTATATATCTAAGTAATTGAATTGCTTTATGTGAGGCTCCGAGCTCCTTCGGTGGGGACGCATAGTGTGGTAATGATGAAAATATGAGTTAAGCGTCATTAAGAACATAGTAATGCTTTAATACTAAACTCTACAATAATGTGTGGTCTAACCTGGAGGCGCTACAATCGCATTTTTTATTATGTCACATCCTAATGTACAAAAAAGAAATAGTTCCATATTTCTCCGTAATATGTGGGGTGTTTAAAATTCCTATTCGAGCTATTCAGTATCTTAAAAATATTTATTATTTTGACTACATTGCACAATTAAATCACACTTCGCAACAGATACTTGAGTTTTGTCAATGACATTTTGATCTTGCGCTTTCATATGAGTTAGTATCTTCTTTTGAAATACATTAAGATATATTTAATAATTAAAGATGGAATAATATTGTTGAGATCAGATTTTTATTCATTAGTATTTTTTAATAAAAAACATAACGGTATTGAACTTGCCAGATTGAGCAAAAAGATTGAAGATAAATACTTTTCTTTCTCATATTTTTGTCTTGGAATATAGCATTAATATCCACTAAGCAAAAATTTAGTTATTACAAAATTATACAAACACGAGAGCTGACATACGGCTTACATTATTACATCTGAAAATCTGATATTACTGACCTGATCTTAGTTACTGTGTAGTTGCTGGGTCCGATAACGGTTATGTTACTGAAGGCAGCAGTGACCCTCACTGGTCCCGCGGAGTTCTCCATGACTAGACGGTCAATGAGCAGTGGCTCAACTGGGGGCACGCCGAGGTCCGTGAGACCACGGGCCAGGTGCGGCCGCAGACTGTTGAACGAGTTCTTGATGCAGATGTCTAGCTGGGGGTCACTTCGTTGACAGGATGGAAGATAGTCGGCTGTAAAAAATACACACATGTATTAAGATAATTTAAAATCTTTCTAGACACGTCTATCGAAGTACTCAAGGATGTGATAAGGAGATCTTTAAATGTGGAGGGGAACAATGCTGGAGGTATGTAGGAAGTGATGGATGGATTGCCTGATAGATGACATGATCAAGAAGGAAGTAACGACTAAGAGTTAAGGACCAGGATATTAGTCACTATGTGAGTGGGATAAAATCAGAGAGATGATGATGACTTCTTCAACAATATGTTTAATTAGTTAAAAGAAAAATAAAAACAATCCAATTTTAACCAATATTGAGTAATGCTAATAAAATCCGCCCTTGTTTTCCTTAATTTAAGGTCATTGTTATAATAATAAATATTTAAATGTAAATATGTAATTATATTAACCTCCGTTTTGTTAAAAGCATTCCCAAATATTGTATATCGAATTATGTTAAATATGGCTAACTTTGTTTAACCTTTAAAGTCTATATAAAAACGGAACCCAGAATTCGCTAATTCTGTCTCTCCGATATTATTTAAATACATAAAAAATGGTTGTATCAAAAATTGTTTACAGTGTAACAAAATGACAAGTATGTAATAGCTTGATCAGATATTTTGTAATACATAGAATGGTGAAATTACTTCTGAAAGTTATTTTTTCCTTAATGTAACTTAACATAATCTTGTAACCACAAGTTAAGACCATTATGTGTGGCAAATGCAAATTGATCAATGTTGCATTACATTGCATAACTAAAATGTATATTGCATTAAGTTATTGTTGTTAAAGCAAGGGTCAATTCTATTACACACCTTGTTAATAATAAGTTGATTTCTTAAATAGCTTATTAAATTTTCATTGATAAAACAATCTCTTCCATGTTTATTATACAACAAAGACAAATAACAATTTTATTTTTATATAGATACAGCCGGGAAAATACGCTGTGTTGCAACTTAAAAGCTACAATCGTTTGCCTATTTAAAATGCGACGAGGAACAAAAATCAATACAAATTAAAGAAAGTCGGTTAGTGATACACGGCTAGTTTATTTTTATTATTTCTTCGTTACCACCACTCCCCGTTATCTGTTTAGTTATTCGTGGGAAGAGAAGTTTGTCGATGCAAATAACAAGACAATTTTACCTAAAGTGGAATACCGCAAAATTCCGTGACTGTACATCAATTTAGTTGCGACCTGCAGCGTAAACAGCTCAGCTTTGATAAAACTAGGGGATAGCCTGCCAATAATGTAAATTGTACTGTGTTTAATTCAACAGACTATTAAAGTGATTTTTTTTCTTCTAAAAATCGTTACTAAGGTAAGTCAAATATGATAGAAAGAGTTTCTATATTTATTGAATTAGAGAATCTTAGTCGAGAATCGTGTCGCCGCGCTTCACGCCGTTGATAAGAAAACAAATTTTAAAGTGGGCCTACAAGTTGCGACCACTTTGTGTATTATGTAAGTCTGGTTATGTGATGACCTTGTACGAGAAACGCTTGTTCGCCGCGATCATCGTTCAAGTTCAAGAAATTATTATGTGCTAAAATTTTAAAATAGAATTTATAAAACTGGTGCAATAAAGGGTAGGATACTGAGTTTTAAATAACACTCATTAAAATGTTAGAATGCTAATTTATTGTCCACTATGTTAATTTATATTTTAATCATACAAATGACATAAAAGCAATGATGATGTTTCAATTGAGCGGTTCTTGGTTCATATAAAAAAAGACACGACACGAGGTAGATACCCCATAAGATGGAAAGACCTCAGGACTTACAAAATTTTGCCATAAGTAAAAACCACCATAAAATTATATCACCATAAAAGTTCGAATTTATCACTAAAAAGGGCGTAGGATCGCAAGCGTGACGATACTTCGAAAAACAGTTTCGCAAAACGCTGACGCAACGCGGGCCGATGTCAAGGCTTCGGAGGAAGCGATTGCGTCTTTGCCAGACTGTCTCTTGACAATTTAAGATGATTTGGAAATAGCGATAGACTATACATTTATTAACTTAGATGTTAATAATGTACATATTCGTGTATCTTTTATTTCCCTGGAAAACAGAACAAGTTGAAATAATGTGGCTATAACGAATAACCAAATATTTGTTAGTGATTCAAGTCCATACTTAGTCCTTATTTAGAAGCTGTAGAATATAAACCTCTCTTGGTTGGTTGATAATGTCAGAACACAATTCTTTCCATCAGGTTTGAATTCATAACTTGATTTTTACATTAGAAGTTTCATTGCTTAATATAATATTTCCGACGATTAAAAAGTTATTAGCATTTAAAGTAATCGTAACCGCTAACTATATCAATATTTGCAGTGTTAAATAACGTTATATAACGTGTGCTAGCATAACAGCGCTTTCGTATACAACGGTTTTCCCACTTGCACCAATTGTTAGGTCAATGCCGAAGTGTTTTTGTGATTGTGGGCATTGGATGTCCCAATAGGCCTATAGTTCGCTTCATTCATGTCACGTATTCATGACCATTAAACACAGACTATACATAAGGACATCTAAGGCTGGACAGTTCAACACCCAGTAATATATTATTCAATACGAGCAACATAGTCCGATCGTAAATTAACCAGCATCGGACCTTCAAGGTGGGTCTAGTCATAGCCTTGCCTGTTAAAATTCACGACCCATTGTTTTTATCGTACTAATTCCTTAATAATCACAAGGATAACGGAATAGGATAATGGAAGTGTTCAATATAGCTCGGTGACTAAGGCTTACGATGTGTTTGATTTCAGTGTCTTTACAGCAATAGTACGTAGTACGTTTTACGTGATAGCAATTTTTAATATGCCGCCTGCTTAATTACAGAGATTTTGTTAACTAGCTTTGGCCTGCGACTCCATCCACGCGGGATTAAAAAAAACAAAAGCGAGTAGCCTATGTGTTCTTCCAGACTATCCTCTACAACTATACCAAATATAATTGAAATCGGTTCAGCCATTTAGGCTACAAACTCTAACAAACAACCATTCATCCATCTAAACTTCCGCATTTATAATTTTAGTAAGAGGTTACAGAAGACAAAGAGATGACAGAGCCGAGACGCACTAAGCTCGTCGCAATGTTTACTCAGCAGAGGACAATATCTCGTTTAGAATTGAGTGATTATTTATGACTACGTGATTGTTTTATTAATGTTAAATGTAGCTCTTTAGTTGCGGTTTAAAAATATCTCTTTTCCTGTTAGACTTCACAAAAGTCTATTTATTTTATTTTATTTTAAATCCCCTCAAGAAATGTATTCCTTTTCTCGTAAATTTCATGAAAAGCTTTATTTAAAATCTCTTCCAAGTAAAATATGCGAGAACGACTTTGTGTGTGATTATTTTACTCTAGCAAAGACAGGCAAATTACATAACATTTTCTGTATTTGGTAAATGTTTTAACAGGATTCAATGTTTTTATAGCCATTTGAAACTAACTAAATAGATTTACCGGTTTGTATAGTGATGTTTATCTTATTTTAGTATCATTTTTAACTTTGAGTAAGGATTTATTTTAAGTAGAAAAAAATATATCGAAAACAGGTTGGCCTGGAAATTTACACTACTTAAAACGTTTTCCTGATTGTGGACCACTTTTAGGTATTAATTTTAATACATTAATTGTAAAACTTATTTTGGATCTGAAAAAACTTTATTAATTATGCATATAACTAATTTATATTCTTTTTTTATAATCATATCTAATGGCATTAAAATATTCGATGTAAGAATGTTAAATACACTTCTTACGCAGAAGAATTTGCAAATGCAAAAAATGTTCAGCTGTCGATAAATCGAATATTTAAGTCAGTAAAAAGTATTGTTTCCTAAAAATCCATTCAAACTCATTCAGAATAAATAGACTTTATTTGGAATTATGAATGCACTTAAACATGACGTGACATTGAAAACTTTTCAACCTTCCACATCACCAAACAAGGAAAACTTTAGTTCAATATTATATTGTTTGCTGATTACCTTTAAAATTTGGTCCTGTTTTAAAGAACGTCATTACAACGTCTAAAGCTAAATACATATTTAAATACCACGTTCGAGTTGATAGTCCAAATTAGAAGAAACCAGATAAACAGTTTTATTTTTAAAGCCAGCTACACACCTTCAGTTTAAATTGCAAAGCTTCAACCTTAAACTCAGACTGTTCAGTTAAAACGAACGTTTATAGCCAACATTGTAACTGTACAGTTTTCCTACTCTACGTGACTTTTTACTCAATAGTTCAAATGTAAAACTGACACCTTCAGTTTTATTTAAACAGTAAACTGTACATTTCAATACGTAAGGAAGGCTGAGATCTATACGGTCTAACAGAAAAAGATGCCCACAAACGTCAGTTTTAAATTTACAATTTACCTGTGCATTAGAATTGTTGTAGCTGGCTTCATAAACAAGAGAAACAAAAGCAATTAAATACTGCCATACACATGAGGTGCATATACTTGTATTCATTAGTAAACTCATGCGTATGTAAATCGCATAATTATAGGATATTTATAGTAGTTGATTTTATTTATAGGTTTATAAAACCTTCATAAAATACTAAAGAGCTTTTAATGTTAGGAGTTTTGCATATTTCAACTTAAATACAACATCAAAATTATAGAAAAATCAATTTACAAAATTACTACCAATTTGCTGTAAGTACGAGATTTTGTCACCGGAAGGGACTTGTAACACAAGTGACCTTGGCACGAATGACTTAACGCAGAAAATACAACTGATTCTTTAAGCACAACCTAGGTTGCAAAGTTGGAAGACCCGAGGTACTTAAAATACGAATATTTTCACTGTCCAAATAAAAACATATGCAATTTTATTGGTAACACGAAAATATTCCCAAAGAACTCTAAATAATTAAATAGATAGCGACGTATCAGACTTTAAAAATTGCTTTATTTATGACTAGCTTTCGCCCACAGCTCTGTCTGCGTGGAAATAAAAAAACGAAACAAATTTAATTAGCTAATGTTCTTTCAGATTATCCTCTACATCTATGCCAAATTTTATAGAGATCCGTTGATCAGTTTAGGCTGCAAACAACCATCGATCTTAACTTTCGCATTAATAATATTAGTATGAAGTAAGACTAAGATAAGATTGACAAGGTTATTGCATAAAAGCTTGTCTCTTAACAAGAGTGTGTATTTTTTACCTTGTAATTGAGAATGTTTTGCCTAACTATATGTCAGATAATTTAACAAGAATCTTTCTATTGTTATATCAGAATATAATATATGTTAATTTCGATACAGCATAATAAGGTAAAGGTTAGTTTTCGTCATTATTGTAAGCGTTGCTAAACCGAGAGAAATGTTTCGCCATCAATAGGCGACAGATAGTATCTAAGTACGACGGTAAACAATTCTCTACAGATACTAGAGAGAATTAAATATAAAATAAATAGTGAACGGCGTGGATTAATGAAGCAATTTTTGTGTACATGTACAAGAATTACTTAAACCTTTAAATTGTGTTAATTCGGAAAAGTCAAGATTAAATAGGAACTTTTCAAACGGAAATATTATAAAAAGTTAAAATAATTTTTTAATAATTCCACTAATGTTGTTTCTTTTTTCAAGTTTAAAAAAAAAATTCTCCACATTAACTGATGTTCGTGTGAATTACTATTGTGTAGAGCTGAAGTTGAGAGATAAATAAATACAATAATTTGTAATGAATAATTTAATAATTACGAGTATTTACATGTCGTCGTTAATTATTTATGGAATATGAAATGAAATGTTATTTAGATAGATACTTACGCAACTTTGGCTTTTCATTTTCCGCAGCTTCTCCATTTTGCCAGATAATTGACAGACAAAGAATCAAAAGTAATTTAAAGCATCGGTCAGCCATTTTCATATTTTTATAAAAATACAATTTCTTTTAATTTTACTCTATAATTTATTTTGTATTAACTTTAAACACAATATCACTTTTCGTTGTCGATTATTAATATTTTTTTTTATAATTCGTATTTTTTTATTCCCGCGTCCGTAGTAGTACAACCTCGGATGTAAATAGACGCGTCGCAGTTTGTTGGGCGTCGTGGCCCGCTCTGTACTTTGAAGTGAAAGCAAGTGACCGATGTGTTATATTCGGGCGAGATTTTCGACATCCCCGTGCGGTTACCCCACTTCGTAGTCGATGTATTTGTCACCGGCAAATCTTGAATGTCATCCGATTGAGTTTTAACCAGGTAAATTGTAATGACTTGCCGAATTGCATATCAAACGTATTTATACACAAAATAACGTATTATGTTCCAGTAATTTGTAAAGTTGACTCTGATAAAGAGCTGCAACAACTGCAAATGCGATTTTACCTATACAAGATGTGATTAGACATGCAATTTACTGGATCTTCACAATTTTCCTAGGTAAATTACACTAAGGCCACGTTTGTGATTTGCAGGTGATTATTTACAAACAGCACGTGTCCGCTGATGTGGGTAGTTGTTAGTGCTTCATGCTGAACGCGTCTACTAATGTTCCTTATGTCATCTGATACCATGAAGAGTCTAAGAACAATGAGGGCATAAACAAATGCAATTTCAATACATTATACCGTCACGATTTCCGTGTACATTGATCTAACAATGATGAACGTGTTAATTTAATAATAGGATTTTATTTGCAACTTCAACTGTTTATTTTCGAAGAACTGTTCAAGGAAGACATACAATTTCTTTTGTATGAGATTAGTGCAGCGCTTCTATTGAAAAAAACTTTTCAAGTTAAGCTAAGAGACTAACTGACAGTGTCAAAAATCTACTAACGATAGCAATCTAATACATAATCTGGCTATCCTTTAAGTAACTCCAAACCACGCAAATACGTTTAAAATGTTAGCCATAAAATATAAACATTTTACAATAAAACGCAATTAATTTTGTATTAACCATAAAATAAAAGATATTAACTGTCATCACTTTAATAAATTACAACCAATAGTTACAGATATGAGTAATAATTAAAAAGGAGAAATTCAATGAGTACGTTTTTAAATCTTTACTATTATACATCCTTATCTATCTATCGGTCAATACTTCTTCACACGTCAATTGAATGAGAGTCTGGAACAAAGGTCGAACAGAAACAGTCATCTCCATTTCAAATTACATTGATGGCTAACATCGCACTAAATAAATATTCACTGTACGCAACCATCAATGTACTTCGTGCAATTCGATAAAGTAGTCATTATCTCTTATAATAAAATGTAACATGTTAGTTATAAACAAAATGTAATTACTTACCCTCCGCTCGGAGATTCACATCAGTTATTTACCCGCATCTTGAATACAACACGGGTTCGGAACGAATAAGCAAATAAGAGTAATTTGAAAAGTGAATTTTAATTTAGTAAATTTAAATTATATTTTAGACTGTTTATTTGCCTTTTCAAGTCGTGGATAACTTTAAAGAATGGGTTTCGATTTTACTAGAAGACAATGGTTGATAATTGTGGTTATTTCGATAGCTGATTTCTGCAACGCTTTGTGTGTTGCTTTGCAGGCGCCGTTTTACCCACAGGAGGTATGTCAAAGTTCTAGTTACTCAATTAAATTCCACCTAATTTTAGAAATTACGGCAAAATAACTCTGTACAAGAATTCATGAGCCTATTGAAATCGACTTACCAAATATTTCCCAGGAATTCGTAACATTTTTGAGCTAAACAATTAAAATAAAAGTATTGTTATATTAACAATATGGAGAAAACCAACGGAAATATAATAGGAATTGTTGTGTTTAATTACTGAATTCAAGTTAAACTTCTAATTTAAAAATTAAATATTCAAAGTTACGAAATAGTAACTATGTGGTGTGGCTAAATGATAAAATTACAATTTATCTTATAAATTAATTTAATCTAAACAAAACATATAACGTTATTATATTAGAAGTGAAAGTTTCTCGTCTTAGATAAGAGTACTGGCAATTAATATTTAATCATTTAAATCCACATTGTATTTTATATATTCATCAATTAACCCGAGCCTAATTTAAGTCCCTTTCTCTTTACCTTTTCTTATAAGGAGAGGTTGGGAAGAGGAAGTGGATTTAACGGTGGAGGAGCATAGGAAAGGGGAAATATCCTCTTTATGTGCGTCTCCTCCTCCGTCGTATAAGGGTAGGCAACGCATGTGCAATTGCGGATGTCTATGGGCAGCGGTCGCTTTGCCATTTCGGCGGTTTCAGGTGGCCGCTTGCTCGTTTGCCACCTTATGTTATATAAAAAAAAGACTGAATCGAAACGTTTTAATTCGCTGACTACTCATAATTTATCTGTCACCGACCAATTATAAATTTCATTATTATACTTAACTTTTTAGGTTACTTGTGCATCAACTGCTATACCGTGAATTCCAATCAGTGTTTATATTCTGTAAGGATGAAACTTACGTTAAGTTTACAATATAAATACTATTAAAAAGAATGTTAGGAACTGCTAAACGTTTTTGTAGTTACTAATGCATATTTTTGGTCATTAACCACGCCGCTCGCTGCACCTAAAGCCTCGCTCTCCGCTTACAACCGACTACGTGATAACCCGACCACAGAGTCACTTCTTATCGCAGCTTCACAATAGAATTCCTAGGCGCCCTTTACTTAACGACTCTAATAAATCATTACATTTATTATTTAATATTATGCCAGAACTCCATTCCCCACACGAGTGTTATTTCGATGGAACTTGACATATTACTTACTTTGAGTTTCGTACTGAATATTAGAGGAAGTTTGAGAGTAGCCCAAGTGTACTTGGGTACCTTCTGTAGAAGGTAAGGAGTAAAAGGTTAGCATGGTATGGGCATGGTATGTGGAGGGATGAATCTCATGTTACAAGAATAACGTTAGTTATGAGTACGGAAGGGTACATCGGTAGAGGTAGACCTAGAAAGAGATGGATGGATTGCGTGAAAGGTGACATGATCAAAAAGGGAGTGATGACTGAGATGACGTATGATAGTTATGTGGAGGTCAAAAATCTGTTGCTCTAACCCTACGGGAGTAGGATAAGGAGAATGATGATGATGAAGTTGCGTTCTGAACGACGCATGCAGTGGACTTTCCAATTAATTGCAAGCCTTTATAATTTTTAATAGCACTATACTGTTGAGTAATTAATTTAAAAACTACTAAGGTCACAATACGAAGGACATATAATAATAGGATAACTTAGAGATAACCGTTGTTACTATCCCTGATAAGCACAAAAGGTCATTAACATTTATTTGTAAGTTATCATTTTTTTTTTAATGTTTAAAATTATGTAGCCGTAATTACTTAATCATACGAGACACTTGAACTTACAAATTAACGCGGTAATAAATCTACTTATCAAAACGAATTCGGTTTGTCCAGTTCAAAGATCAGATAAAACTCGATAAGCTGTTGTTTCGTATTAAAACCTTTGCTTCATTCAAAATAGGAAAACTAGATCGTTTATTCAATACTTATTTAGGACATATTTTTTTGGCGACAACGATATGATCTAAGAATGTATAAAATTATTATGTCACGTGATTAAAAGTAGTAAAGAAGAGAAATAGTTGCCATATTATATACTGATAGAAGATACTGCTCTAAGAAATAAAATTCCTTTAGAGACCCGCACATTACATTGTTTTAATGTTATTTTAGCTTAACTGCCTAACCCAATCAAATTATCGGCCGATAAAGTCTGTAGTCTGCGGGAGCTCTTAGACTTGTCATCGAATATTTGTTAGTCTGAAAGTTTTTTAATTGTAATTAAATTAGCGCTTTTTCACGATCCCACTTGATTTTGATGATGTCTTTTAGTTCGACTAATAAAGGAATATTGCGGTACACATGTGTGTCTTGTTTTTGTACACGTGTTGTAGTTAAATTAGCGCGTAATTTAGTCTACGCGTTACATCTCTGTCGCCGTGAATAGTGATAACCTTTAACCGTTAAAACATATCGATTTACGTAAAAATACATAAAAAAAACCAATTAAAATGCGTTTTATTTACTCTATCTTCCATCCATTAAAATGATATTTATGTAATAACAATTTAATTTTCTTATTTGAACCATACCTTAAAACACATGACGTTTAGTATTCTTTCAAAGGAATTTCCTTTTGAAAGTACCTACAACAATTTTCATATAATTTACTGCAACAAGAAAACGCTATAGCAAAAAATTTGCATACCTGCTGTTACCCAATAGATTTTTGATTAGCAACTGTATTCATTTTACAGGCGGAGAAGAAAGGATGTTCGGCGACGGAATTCGGACTGGTGTTCGGCGTGTTCGAGCTGGTAGTGTTCTTGGTGAGCCCGCTGTACGGCGCACATCTCAACCGAATAGGGCCCAAGTTACTTTTCAACGCTGGAATTCAGACCACGGGCACCTGCGCCATATTGTTTGGGTATAATAAAATTTGTCTATTAGTCCTTAACAGCGGGCGCACACCTTGGACTAAACTATCGCATGACAGTTGTGCGATTGTCGATTGTTTCGCAGCCAATTCAACTGTTTAGTTGCACAATCAAGTAGTGTTTGCACCTCCATGTAAGCTAAAATAATCAATGCGAGACTGAACAGTTGTGCGATATTTTAGTTAAAGGTGTGCGCGCGCTCTTAATAAGATTCTTTGAAAACAAAAGAACATTTAAATATGTTTGTAAATTACTTTCGGAATATGGCAGCAATTAAAATTATATCAACTTAAAATAAACCCATTCACGAGGCCGCAACCATTTCCGCACTAAAGTATCTCAATGACAAAAGTGATAGTCCTAAAAACCACTTCGTACCTTATTTTTTAGGTTACACCAAAATCGGTTCAAGGACAATATATAGTCTATGGAATTTCATGCGTTTTAATTTATTTTTGTAACATGACAGTTTACTTGACAACGTGGAGGGCCACATCCCGTTCATAACGCTGAGCTTCGTCATTCGAATCGTGGAGGCGATGGGCAACGCTGCCTTCCTCACCGCATCATTCGCCATCATAGCCAAAGAGTTCCCTAATAATGTCGCTACGATGTTCGTAAGTAAGCCTTCTGATAAACTAGTTGCAAACATTTCAAAACGAGAGATTGCTAATCTCGTAATAAGAAAACTTGCATTTCTGTAATATCGAAGTAAAAGTTTGTAAGCAGATTTTTCGATATTTGTAAAGGAATAATGAATTAACGAATTTTATAGTTTTGCTGCTCTTTTTCTTCAACACTGAACAGACATAGATAGGCTACATGTTAAATTTAATAATTATAATACCTTATTTGTCTGTTTAAAATCTAGATTGTTTGGAAACGCCTATAAATTAAAAGATTCAATTTATAAAAAAATCATTATATCTGTATTTGCCACTTACTAACAATTTATCATAGTACAAGTATGTTTTGTAATCAGATAAACAAATGAAACTTTTGTTTTAGGCTTCCCTAGAGACTTTCTTTGGGCTCGGACTAATAGTCGGTCCTACTTTGGGAGGCGCTTTGTATGGAGTCGGTGGATACTACCTTCCCTTCGCAGTGCTAGGCGCTACACTATTCTGTACAGCTGTTATGAGCTACGCTGTGCTACCCAAATGCAATGACGATGAAGATTTAAAACCAACAGGACGTAAGAATTTTAATACAGCCTTGATAAATAATTCAGCGCGGTATAAATAGTTTTCATGTACTAACTACATTTTATTTTTTACTGCAACCTTATTCGTAATATACATTTTAAATATGGTTTACAGCGACGATGTTCACACTGCTCAAAATCCCTGGCGTTTTGCTCGCAGCAATCAGCATCATGTCGACAAGTTTGAGTATCGGCTTCCTACAGGCGACACTCGAACCACATCTCAGACAGGTAAGCTTCGATGACTAAGAATTTTAGGCTTCACTATTCTTGTGTGAAATGTGGTTTTGAAGCTACAAGCATTTTTATATTAAAATAATACAATTGACGTAATAAAACAAGCCGTTTTGTTCCAGTTTAAGTTTTCACCTGTGATCCTCGGGCTGATGTTCGTGATCAACGGCGGTGTCTACGCGGCCTCCGCGCCTGTGTGGGGCTGGATGTGTGACCATCCCTCTATCAAGCCCAAATACGTCACTGTTATCGGCTGTATGTGCATCGCCAGTGGCTTTCTGCTTATCGGGCCTGCGCCTTTTATTGATATGCCTACGTAAGTATTTTTACTCCTAGATAATAATCAACATTCAACTGAAATCTAGATCTTTACCAATTTTATTTATAGTTGACAATCGTAAAAATTGCCGTTATTTTAATTTTTTCAGGTTGATGTGGATGACGATATTAGGCCTGGTACTCCACGGTATGGGTATGGGAAGTCAACTAGTTGCATCTTTCTCGGACGCTCTCGGCACAGCAATGTATGTAAAATATTTAAAAAACTAATTTAAATACTTAAGTACTTTGTTCACAGAAAAACCTTTAATTCTCCTGCGAATTTACTTGAACCAATAGTTATTCATCTTCGTTAAGTTTGCATGTAAATAAATTGTTTTTATGTACGTTACCCAATTTACATTGTTACTTACATTGGTTAACAAATAAAACATTAGCTTCTGATTCCATACTTTTATGATTTTTTTCAATGCTTATTAATACGAGCTTTATTGTTCCAGAGCCAACGGCTTACCAAACTCAATAGAAACCTATGGACTGGTGTCAGGCATGTGGACTTCTGTGTTCGCACTTGGGGCATTCGTAGGTCCCACAGTCTCCGGCTTGCTCTTCGATTCCGTTGGTTTCAGAAACTCTACCATGTTCGTTTTCATTCTGCATGTCATTGTTGTAAGTTTATCTTACTTTTTACTAGATGCAAAACATGAGATGGATGGATGTTTGTTACTGTGTAGGTCCAAAATAGCTAAACACCGAGAAACCGAAGAACACCGAGCGGAATCAAAGGTGGATGATTACATCACTTGAAAAACGTATATAATAATAATAATACCAACACCCCATTTTCTTGTAGAACAAATGAAAGAGTAAGTAGACATCGGGACGTACGCAGAAGTCATGAGAATGGAACAATAAGTTAGTTAGATCTTCCGTCAATCCTTAATTATGATGAAAGTGATATTATCAGTACATGTACATTATTTTACATTTACAGATGTTGGTAGTGATGGTGTACCTGTGGGTGTGTGACCGCAGCTCCAAGATGGATGTATCAGTATCCGCCGGTGACCTACTGCAGTTAGACGGAACTCTAGACGAGAGCGTGCTCATCGGCGACAAGTACATCATGCCCCCACCGAGGGTTAAAAGGTAATACACAAAGGATAAGGTAATAAAACAAAACCGACTTCCAAACAAAATACACTAAAAACAAAACAAAAAACACTTATTTGGATAAGGATTCATACCAAATAAGAATAAAAGCGTTTTAAGGAAGTTGATTGCATTTATTTGACGGTTTTCGCAAAACAAACGGTTATTGTGCGACAACCTTAAGAGATTGATATATGCTATCGCGGACTTTTATTTAGCAAATTTAAAGGGCTACAATTCTTCCATACATCATTTTTATGTAGGTCTTATAGTTTAGGCTACGTAAGCAAAGAAAGCAAAAATGACCCGAAATTTCGTCGCACGATTTTGAGCTAAACTATTTAACTACGTCGTAGTCTTTGACTCCAAAACTCAAACAAAAAATGGGACCCACCTGCAAGCATTACCTTTCGGATAAAAAAAGAATTATCAAAATCGGTCCACTAGCGGCGGAGTTATGCCGTAACACATATTAAAAAAAAAACATACAGACGAATTGAGTACCTCCTTCTTTTGGGAAGTCGGTCAAAAAATAAGGTTAACGCTCAGATTTATACATAATATTTAAACACTAACCGTGGTAACATAGAATATGTTGTTTCAAAGGCATTTCCTTTTCAAATTGATTTCATTAATTCACCTTTAGTCTTCGTCCATTTATCTGAATGTCGCCTCAAAAAATTTCTTTTAAATTTGTACCCCAATAACTTCTATAAAAGCATGTACTAATCCTCACGTAATCCAATTCCAGTCGTCGCTGTGGAATCAGCGTGGAGCGTTCTCGGCCACCCGCAATGAACAGTCTAATAGCGTGCACAAGCTGTAAGAACCGACGCAGTCCGTGGAGTCAGCGCACGCCCGTCTATCGGCCCTCCTACGGCAGCCTCGACCACCGCTTCCGTGGAGCCCTCTCTGTCACGTAAACAAACTGTGCACAATCACAACAAGCAGTTACTAAAAATCATAACGGTTTTAACCAATATTTCCTAACTGTCATACTGTCATGTAACGCTCAATAGATGCGTTCCTTTGTGTGTATTTCTTATTTCCGGATTAAGATAATAAGGTTTATTTGTAAATTTCTGATCGTAAAAATTGGTTTTATCCTACAAAGTTGGTAGTCAGATTTATTACGTCTTCTGCTGATATGGGTTATTTTAGTTCCCGCTTTCAAATCACACTTTTTTGACTAAAAAATCCATATCCCTTCTAATTAATCTTTTATTACTAGTTTTATATCAATCTTCGTGATCATTTTTACAAAAAATGTTTGTGTATGCGCTTATTTTTAAGATTATACCAGTTCCTCCCTACAGAGTTTAAATATGCATCAGATATATTTTATTTTATGAACAAGATATGAATATGCTTAATTATTTTTTATAATTAATAATAAGTTTTACAGTTCCTAATAATAGGTTGTTTTAGGTTAATTAACATACTATTGTATGTTCGATATACTATTGAAAAATAAGTATATCGAAATGCCAAAATAATTCATCAAATTGAACATGAATATTTCGTTGCTGTCATATTATGTAACATTGCAGTAGAGCAGGAGATAGTAAATGTAATCTAACTAATATTATAAATGCGAAAGTTTAGATGGATGGATGGATGGATGGATAGTTGTTTGTTAGAGTTTGTAGCCTAAACGGCTGAACGGATCTGAATGAAATTTGGCATAGATGTATAGCAGAGTATGGAAGAGCACATAGGCTACTTATTATTGTTTTTTTTAATACCACGCGGACGGAGTCGCGCGCGAAAGCTAGTAGGTACATAAATATATAAGGCTTGTCGATATTTCATAATTGAATTTGCATTTGTATCCTATTTCTTTTTACTTTATGTTTATTAAATATTGTGAAATTTTATATTCAAATTTTTTAATCATTAAAATATTTTACATACTTTTGTTTTTTATTATGGTAATTATACCATTTCGTTATTGCTAATAATTTATGACAGGCGCTACACTTTTCTATTTCTAAGTTACAACTGTGTGAAACGTTATGTGGCAGTTTTTTCAATATAATTTAAGAGTTCAATATTGCGTAAAATACATATCAGTGAAATAATGATGTAGAAATAATAGTTTTGTTGTCTATCCTGCTTCATATTGTGCAGTTGTAAGGTCAGAATCTTGCGAATAAGGTCTCGAACGAAGTCAACCGGGAAATAATGTGGCGTGACGAAGGCCGGGGTAATGAATGCAATTGTAGGAACATCTTTTTTTCGGCAGATTAAAAAACTATTCAGTAAAGACAACATAAAAAAGTGCTACAGTTAAATAATTTTGATCTTTTTAAAATGTAATGTAGCTAGCTTTCTTTTCTTTGTAATTTTACTTATTTAAATGTTGTTACAGACCTATCCAAATCCCTTTTTCGGCGTATGAAATAACAAATGACTACTACAGGACCTTTTCTTTTACTTGACGTTTTGAATTTATCTTCACTAAGGACCAGGACATTAATAAAATACTAAGTTTTTTTTAGTGTTTTTTCAAAGAGGTAATATTAATTCACAGAGTAAGGCCAAGGAAAACACTGATGCGTGCCAGAGGCCATAACAATTGCATAGCCAAAACTTTGCTCTTACGGCGACTTAATTTTACGATATCCGAATAATAACATTATTGTTAGTCAACAAAACAGTATATTTATAGTTATAATGTTTCACTTATAAATTAAAAGGATTGTAGTAAAACCGGAACTAGTCAAAATCAACACAACAAATGTAAAATTAACATCATCATTGATCCCTCACCTCGCGACAATGACATTTGAAAAGATGACGGAACTGCTTTAGGACTCATACATCTTAAGGCAAATCAAATATTTATTGTTTTTAAAGTAAATTAATAACATTATTATTAAGATGCTGTTAAATGACGATTAATAACAAAGTTTATCCCTAATAGAGTTGTATTTTTATTAAATACTAGATGTTGCCAGCGAGAAGTCGAAGAGCGAAGGCCCATCTGAAAATAAAAAATATAGCTTATGTTATTCACTGATAACGTAGCTTTTTAATAATGAAAGAATTTTTGAAATCGGCCCAATAGTTTTTGAATTGTTTTAACACATACAAACATTTAAAAATCCAAATCTTTCCTCTTTATAATATTACTATAGACTTGGACATGTCAAGTGTCATGTGTCATGTGTGGCATAGAGAATTGAAAATTGTTAAATAGATATAAAAATTACTACGAAGATTGATAGTAGCTTTAAGGAGTCTAGGTCTGCCCATAGGTGTCTCAGGGGCGGCAGAGAAGGCAGCTAACTCTAGTAGACGCCCATGTCAAGCGTAAACGTGATGAATTTCAGTTGTTTGTAAATAATGTAAGCTTTTTTACATATTCATACCACAGCATTTAAAAAGGTGAATTTGACAAAATTGAGTAGTTTACTCGTGAAAAACTTTGGCTTTCTGACAAAATCAATGTAAACATAATTAACATTTAGAAGTTAGAGTTCCGAAAACTTTTTAAATGTCTCAATAATATTCGGAATTTTAAAAATCTTTTAATCATTTGATGAACGACGTCCTATTGGTATTTACGACACATCTTTTAATTTAATTATATGACTAATGTCCTTGACTCTGTCGACCGCGAAAAAGTCACAAAGTTTGCACAAAAGTTGTACTACTCACTTCTAATGCAGTGACTTCATAAAACCTAATCCAAGAGGATGACGCATTCACCAAACCAGTTACAACAAAAGCCCAAAGATTCACTGACAAACAAAAGTAAGGATAAATATTTATTTTTTCGAGTACTTATTACTTTGTTTGTACTAAGCAAAGAGATCCCTCTTGATTATTAGAATGCATTTTACACATAACAAGAAATAAAATACAAAGAAACAATACGTTGGTATGTCTATTGTTTTCACTAAATTAATATTACAATTATGTAAACATGATTACGAAAATGAATAGTTATTAATATGTTTTAACATGAAATTAGCTTAAAAAAACATATATACCTTTATAAAAGCTTACTCTGTCTCAAGTAAAAGCTTAGAGTACCAGGCTATCAGAAACACTCAGAGGATCAACCATAGCATTGGTAACGTTACGATGTTAGTTTAACATTTATAACGATAGAATGTAGTGATGTAAAGTTTTTAATATTTAAAAATAAAAATAGTGTCTATACTTTATAATCTACACTAACATTATAATTAGGAAAGATTTGGATTTTTTTATGTATTGACATAACACAAAAACTACTAGGCCGATTTCAAAAATTCATTCACCATTAGAAAGGTAATTTTTCTATGAGTGACATAGGCTATATTTTTTATTATTTTTTAAATTTCACGGAAGGAAGTCACGAGCAACAGCTAGTTTGTTATAAAGATGTCATTAATTTATACTTTAAATATGTTTAACTTGTGCAAATTTAATTGTCGTAGAAGTTTTTATTTTATCCACATTAATAGCCTACATTTCATACGTATTGTACCGTACTATTCAGGCGCATAAAGTAATAATCTTGCATCTTCTTCTTTCAATATAACGCTAAACAAGGACGCAGTACTTTGATAAAAGTTTTCTCGGTGCTGTAAGTGCGGATATTCGTATCAAACCAGTCGAACGGGCTCGAGTCACGAGCGCGGGTTCAAATTTCGAGTCGCACGGTTCCCGAGTATAAATAATGGTGTTTTATATCATGAAAGTTGCAAAGAAAATTGATCTCGAATATGTCTGTGTTCGATTATTGCATTTTATATTGCAGTATATCAGCGCAGCGGTTCCTAAAGTGGGCGGGTAAAAAATCGTATAAAAGTTAAGCGAAATCACGTTTGCTTTTATTGATTTTTTTGTTTATATAGTAAATACCGCATTTAAAACAATGTAAATTGTTACAATAAAACAATTTCATTATCCTCATAAGAGTATAGGTTATTTTCAATAGAATAAATACTTTATGACTGACGTGAATATAAATATTTATGAACATGAATTAATAAATTATTTTCTTGTCGAATTTCATTGAAAATTAACCCTCACAAGTTTCATAATGTAACGTTTATAAGCTAAGATAGTCCAAAAATATCTATTTAAACGCTTTAGTATACTTACTAACCTATTTATAACATGCATTGCATCGTAAAGACGTTGAATAAAACGAGGAAGGAAGGGCGGTGAGGCAGGCGAGCAGTTGCAGGAGGAAGCAAGGTGCGTTGCGTCCTGCGCCCGAGCACCTGACACGCGCCGGACCCCGACCCCACCCTGTCAAAACACACCGACAGGGGTTGACAACCTTGATTTACTTATCAATTCGAAATCTTAAAAATATAATCTTATAATATTGTAAAATTGAGAAAGATCCCAAAATTTACATTAGACAATCGAACTAATAATTACGAGGTGTATATTTTATTTTAACTATAATAAGTAACTTTATTTCAACAATACAATAGGTATAAATATGTACCAATAATTAGTCGAAGAGTACATTCATTCTATAATTGTTAATTAAAAATGCCAATCACTTCTACACGACTAGTTCACTATCAGTATCGACAATCGATTTTAGATTGATCATTGTTCTATTGTTTTTTATTGTAACTTGTACGTCTTTTATTATTGACGAACGTATTGGGTTAAAAGAAATGGGTAGTATAAAACCGTGCGTCTAAATAAATATTACTAACTAGATTTAAGATTTCCTTTGGGCTCAATAAATAAAGTTTTAAATCCTGTAGTCTATGTATCCGGGAGTGCCACACAAAACTGTCCCTGCTACCTCCCCAGCATGGACGGTGCAGTGCGTAAAGGCATTCCTCGCGTCAACAAAAAAAATAGTCTATGCATAGTGTAATTTAAAATTAAATTCACGTAATTGTTGTCAGAATGTAAATAATATCTAACAATATCTAAACTTTGGTAGTGTAAAAAACTATACAAGCAAATGTTAACCAAACCAACGTATTATTAACAATATTGCTTTTATGTTAAGACCGGTTTGTCGTGTCTCAGAAGATGTTCTTCACCTTGACACGTTTCACGAAATAGCGAATGATTAATCCCAAGTAGTCTGATTTTAAATGTTAACCTTGAAATATGAAAAGTGGTTCTCCGATTCAAATCCGGAACAAACAATATTAGAATGCACAGCGCACATGTGAATAATTTAGTAAAATTTAATTAATCTTTGTCACAATAGCAATATTTACGAAATAGATGAATGAAATAACAAAAACTCAAACGAAAAGAAAATATGTGAAAAAATATTTTTAATCTCTGGCAACTTTTTTTAATCCTGCATTGACATTTATAAAGAAAACTACGTCACGCGTAATCATCAGTACAAGGTTTAATTCTTAAATTCAACTAGCCCAATAAACAGTAGTAAATACACAATTTTAGAAAAGAGCTTTTATAGCAATTTCTGTTAAAGTTAACTTTGTTTTATATAGAAACACGACTATTTAGTTTTAAATATAAAATTTGTATTATTTAAGTCTCGGACATTTTATCCAACAACGTCCGAAGAATCAGTCGAACAGAAAAAGTTCCATTACGTCATTTATTTAAGTAGTAAGTATCCAATTAAAGGTTAAAATTTAAGAATTAACAAGTTAATTCTTTAATATTTATTGTTATGTTTTCATTAACATATGC